GAGGCAGAAGTGCCCTAGATGCAGTGGGGAGCACAGAGTAGAGGAGTGTAATGAAAACAGTACTCTTAAATGTAGTAACTGTGGAGGGCAACATGCTGTAACCTACGGAGGATGTGAAGTAAGGAAAAAAGCGGTGGAGATTCAGAGAGTGAAGGTTATGAACGGTGTCTCTTACGCAGATGCAGTGAGGAAAGTTCAAAATCAAGACCCAGGAGTGAGTGGTGACCAGAGTGATGCTAGAGGGAAGAAGCAGAGTGTGAGTGAGGGTAGTATGGTGTCGGTGGATAATTTGATGGTGTTTCTAGCATATGTCATAAATTGTGCAGATCAGGCAAAGCATAAAACAGATAAAATTAAGATTATTGTGAAAGGAGCGGAAAAGTACCTCGGTATGAGAGGTGTTTCCTGGGAACAGGTGAACAAAAGGTTGGAGGAGGAGAAGAGAATGGTTGTGGGAGGGGGAAGTGAGAGAGTAGTATGAAAATCATTCAATGGAATGCAAGGAGTTTAATGGCTAATGGACAGGAGTTAAAAGGTTATGTGCAGAACAAGGAGAGGAGACCTGATATTATATGTGTTCAGGAAACATGGCTCAGGCCATCATTGGATTTTGTGATTAGGGGGTATGAATGTGTGCGTAGGGATAGACAAGGTGGTAATGGTGGAGGGTGTGCTGTTTTTATTAAAAATGGAATGCAGTATAGGGTGGTGAGGAAGGGGACAGAGCTTGAGTTTATTGTGGTAGAGGTGTGGGTTAGTGAGGGGAAAGTTACCCTGGTGAATTTCTATAATCCCTGTAGGAGGCTAACAATGGATACGTTGCGGGAACTGGATGATAACCTAGAGGGTAAAGTAGTATGTTGTGGTGATTTTAATGCACATAGCACATTGTGGGGTGAACGGAATGATGAGAATGGGGCAGTGATTGAGGAATTATTGGATGCTAGGAATTTAGTGTGTCTGAATGATGGGAGTGGAACACGGATTAACTTCCAGAATGGGAATGAATCTGCACTAGATCTTACTCTAGTGTCAGAGTCTATTGCAGGGAATTGTAAGTGGAGGGTTGATAAGGAGACTACTATAGGTAGTGACCATTATCCTGTAGAGGTTGAGTTGGGATTCAGTGTTGAAGAAGTTACCACAGAGGGGGTAGGGAAATGGAGTTTTAGTGGTGTTAAGTGGGATAGATTTAGTTACATATGTGATAGGGAAATGGAAAGAGTAAATGTTAATGGAGGTGTGAATGATTTTAATAGTTCTCTATGTAGTGCAATTTTGGAGGCAGCCAAACAGACAATCAAGAAGAAAGGAGGAAAGGCTCAAAGGAAGAGTGTTCCTTGGTGGTCAGATGAATGTAATAATGCTATTAAGGATAGAAACAAGGCTTTTAAAGTGTTTAAGAGGAATCATTGTTTCCAAAATCTGTGTGACTATAAACGGAAGCTCGCTGTAGTAAGGAGAGTTGTTAAAGAAACTAAAAGAGCATACTGGGCACGATATTGTGATACTTTAGGGAGGCAAACATCAGTGGGTCAAATATGGGGGACAATTAGGAGAATGGGAGGAAGTAAAGCTAGTTTTGGGTATCCAGCAATGTCATCTGGTGGAAGTGTAATTTTAACTAATAAAGGCAAGGCTGATCTTTTAGCTCAGCAGTTTGTGAAAGTCCATAGTAACGGAAATTTAAGTGAAGAAGAAAGGAGAGGAAGGAGGGAAACAGTTAGATGTAATTTGAATAGTCTTGAGGATGTGGAGGAGTGTGATAATGCAATTAATGATGAGTTCAGTATTTGGGAGTTGAACAGGGCATTAAGCAGATGTGGCAATACTACCCCTGGAGAGGATGACATAAGCTATTGTATGCTGAGAAACTTGAGTGATAGAAGTAAGATTGTGTTGTTAAAGTTGTATAACAAAGTATGGGTAGAGAGTAGACTGCCAGAGCAATGGAAAGAGGCAATTGTAGTTCCTATTTGTAAACCAGGTAAAGATCCTTCTGCTGCAGAAAGTTACAGACCAATAGCTTTAACATCACATGTTGGGAAGGTAATGGAGAGAATGATTAATGATAGGCTAGACTATTTTCTGGAAAAGAATGCGTTGATCAAGAATCACCAGTATGGTTTTAGGAAGGGTAGGAGTACAGTAGACCCTTCTTTGCTTTTAGAAGACGAAATTAGGAAGGCGCAGGTGAACAAGGAGTGCGTTGTCTCAGTGTTTTTTGACGTTGAGAAAGCATATGATATGATGTGGAGGGAGGGGCTGATTATAAGATTGCATAAGATGGGTGTACGGGGGAAGATGTTGAAATGGGTTCGAGATTTCTTATCAGGGAGAAAGATATCAGTCCGAGTAGGGAAAGAGTGTAGCTCAAAGTTTGAGGTTGAAAATGGCACGCCGCAGGGCAGCATTGTAAGTCCAGTATTATTTACAATTATGATAAATGAAATTTTTTGTGACATTGAGTCATCAATTGGAGTGTCACTGTTTGCGGACGATGGTATAGTGTGGAAAAGGGGGAAAAATGTACGGTATATTGTTAAAAAGTTGCAAGAAGCTATCGGGATGGTTGAAGCCTGGTCAACAAAATGGGGTTTCAGATTTTCAGTGAGTAAAACAAAAGTCATGTTTTTTACCAGGAAAAGAGTGGGAGATGACATTAATCTTACTTTATATGGGAAGAATCTTGAACGAGTGAATGAGTTTAAGTACTTAGGGTTAGTGTTTGATAGTAAGTTGACATGGGCAGCCCATATTAATAAGGTAATAGAGAAGTGCAAAAAGGTGATGAACGTAATGAGGTGTCTTAGAGGACGGGACTGGGGAGCTAGTCGGAATTGTATTAAAACTGTGTATGTGGCATTAATCAGGTCTGCTTTAGACTTTGGATGTGTGGTATACGGCTCTGCGGCAAAAAGTAATTTAAAGAAGCTAGATGTTGTACAATGTAAAGCCTTGAGATTATGTTGTGGGGCTGCAAGATCCACTCCAGTCTCTGCACTGCAGGTGGAGATGAATGAGATGCCTCTGAAGTTTAGGAGATTGCAGTTGACCTTAGTGTATTGGGCCAATTTGCAGGGGAGCAGTAGAGATCATCCTTGTCAGAGAATTTTAAAACCAACTCAGGAGAGGGAAAGAGCGCAACTGGCCAGTTTTGGCTGGGTAATAGAGGAGGCGGTGGAGAATGCAGGACTAAGAAATCTAGAGGTATGTCCTGTAGTCCCAAGTTCTGCTGTCCCTCCGTGGGAATTATTGGAGCCTCATGTGGATTTAACTCTTTTGAAGAAAAATAACTATAATAATAACAATGTAGAGATGTACATCTGGGAGAAGTTTTATGAGCATCTAGAGATTTATACTGATGCATCAAAAATGGAGGATGGGAGAGTGGGCGTTGCTGTAGTAATCCCTAAATTGGGAATAAACACCAGAGAGTTGCTTAAGATCTATGTGAATGGGCACAACAGAACATTTTCCTTAAAAGAAGTATTGAGTGGGTGTAGTTCGGTAGGGGGGGTTAGAGTAGTTTTGCGTTTCCTTCGAAGCGCAGGGTTATTCTTTAGAATATAGAAGACTGAAGGACTGAAGGGGCCGTCCTGGCCCACACTCCATTTCGGAAGGTGGCGGTAATGCACCTCAAGGTTGTTTGCCAACCGCCAATAAACCTCAATAGAAGAAGAAGAAGAAGAAGACCGTCACTGCTGCTGAGATAATTCTGTGGCTTAGGTTCAGGTGTGTAGCTCTACAATTATCTTAGTGTGTAATCAAGGTGGCATGAGACTTTCTGGAGTGTAAACTGTTGCTTTACGCAGCAATAACAACTGTCTGTTTTTTGTGTGTGACCAGAGCCGTCCCGTGCCAACAGGCAAGGCAGGCAGCTGCCTGGGGCCCCCAAACCAGCAGGGGCCCCCGAGGGCTGACTGATTTGACACAAGTACAGGCTACAACAGCTACCTGCAGTGACGAGTTGGCAGTTAAAACTTTTCGTCTGATGCGAAACTTGCCACATTCATCATTAACATTTAAAAAGCCTTTCTGGGGCAGATTATATTCTAGTGGTTAAGGTGCAGGACTCGCAGTGCAGTGGCCCAGATTCAATTCCAGGTAGGAGCAGTAATTTGGATTGGACTATATATTATGATAAATGACAGATTGCTCAAGAACGGTAAAAGTTAAAAACAAGCTGTTTTTTGCAGATTAAAGCTAAGAGCCTAATCTTTAATTTAGACTACATAAACACTGGGGGTCAAATGAAAGATTAGATTTTGAAGGATTAATACATTTTGAAAGCTGCCACTTTATTAGGTACACCTTGCTAGTATCGGGTTGGACCTCCTTTTGCCTTCAAAACTGTCTTAATCCTTTGTGGCATAGATTCAACAAGGTACAGGACACATTCGTCAGAGTTTGGTCCATATTTGATAGCAACATGCAGTTTCTGCAGATTTGTCGGCTGCACATCCATGATGCGAATCTCCTTTTCCACCACATCCAAAAGTTGCTCTATTGGATTGAGATCTGGTGACTGTGGAGGCCATTACAGTGCAGTGAACTTATTGTCATTTTCAAGAAATCAGTCTGTGATGATATGCATTAACGTTGGATAGGTGTACCTAATAGAGTGGCCGGTGAGTTTAGTGACCAAGTATTATTATTTCCATATTATTGATTTTTTTCTTTCCATGATTGTAGGTGAGGCCGGAAAGCTCATGCCTTCGTTTGCGGGGGAAAACTATCTTTTCTTAGCCACACGCCTGCCCTTGTTACGACACTCCTCCCACATAGTCCTCCACTCCTCATATACAGACATGTGTTTCTGCAGTTTGTTGAAATTACTAAATGAAAACAAACTATGACAGTGACTTCTTTATCACAGAAAACAGTTGCCTGCAGCAGTTTCACAACATTCAACATTAGTGAGTAAACTGTTCACAGCAGCAGAAGTTACGTCCCTGAGCTTTAAACCACAGAACCCTGTGTTTGTGGACAATCGAGCATTAGTCTGTGTCCTGCAGAGTCTTCATGGCCAAACCCCATAACGTCACACTTGACATAAGGCCCGCCTCCCCGGCCCGTGCACCCCCTCCCCCACTCGAGGACTCATGTGGGCGGAGTCTACGGGGCTGGGGGTGTGTGGCTTCGGCCTGGTCCTCTGGGGGCGTGTCTCTGGGGGCGGGGCTCGCGCTGCTCTGCTCCTCGGTGGGGGGTGCAGTACCGGCTGTGACCAGCGGGGCGCCGCGACAGTGTTGCTCGCGGTGCCGGCGTAGCAGAGCTGAGCGGCTGAAGCTCCGGCCACATTCGCAGCACACGTACGGCCGCTCCCCCGTATGTGAGCGTACGTGTCGCTGCAGATCTCCGGAGCCTGAGAACGACCTCCCTGAAACAAACGAGTAATGTCCTGTTCATAAGCAGATCTGTAGCGGAGTTTAGCTCTGTCTACGTTCATACTGTAACCACAGGGGCGTTCACAAAAAAGCTCCCGCACAACAAGGAAGGATCCTCTCTCTCTCTCTCTCTCTCCCTGGTCTCTCTCTCTCTCTGGTCTCTCTCTCTCTCTGGTCTCTCGCTCTCTCTGGTCTCTCGCTCTCTCTGGTCTCTCGCTCTCTCTGGTCTCTCGCTCTCTCTGGTCTCTCTCTCTCCCTGGTCTCTCTCTCTCCCTGGTCTCTCGCTCTCTCTGGTCTCTCGCTCTCTCTGGTCTCTCGCTCTCTCTGGTCTCTCGCTCTCTCTGGTCTCTCGCTCTCTCTGGTCTTTCGCTCTCTCTGGTCTCTTGCTCTCTGTTCTCTCGCTCTCTGGTCTCTTGCTCTCTTGCTCTCTGGTCTCTTGCTCTCTGGTCTCTCGCTCTCTGGTCTCTCGCTCTCTGGTCTCTCGCTCTCTGGTCTCTCTCTCTCTGGTCTCTCTCTCTCTGGTCTCTTGCTCTCTGGTCTCTCGCTCTCTGGTCTCTCGCTCTCTCTGGTCTCTCTCTGGTCTCTCTCTCTGGTCTCTTGCTCTCTGGTCTCTCGCTCTCTGGTCTCTCGCTCTCTCTGGTCTCTCTCTGGTCTCTCTCTCTCTGGTCTCTCTCTTGGTCTCTCTCTCTCTGGTCTCTCTCTCTCTGGTCTCTCTCTCTCTGGTCTCTTTCTGTGATCAATCTCTCTCTCTCTCTCTGGTTTCTCTCTCTAGTCCCTCTCTCTCTCTGGTTTTGAATCTCTCACCACAGGTCTCACAGCTGTGAGGTTTCTCTCCAGAATGGCGTGCTCGATGCTTGAGCACTTTCCTCGCTGTGTTGAACGATTTCCCGCACTGGTCACATGTGAAGCTCTGCTCAGTGGAGTGAGTGCGTTTGTGCTCCTTCAGGTTACTCATGTTATTAAAGCCTGGACACAGAGGAGTATATGCAGCAGTAATACAATCATCTGTAGTAGGGCAGTAGACTACGTAGGATTTTAAAGCCTGGACAAAACTAACAATACATAGCTTTTGTATAGAAATTATGTTTTATTCTTAGATAAAAAATAATGTAGGCAGTAGAAGTAGTGTCAGTCATAATAACAGTAATAGCAGCTGTAGTTGCAGTAGCAGTACTTTTACCTCTCCCACAGATGTCACACAGATGCGGTTTCTCTCCACTGTGGACGACTCTGTGTCTTTGAACGTCTCCAGCGGCAGTAAACCTGAAACAGAATGGGATGTGAGGTCTCTTTCTGTGGTGTCTCTCTCTCTCTGGTCTCCCTCTCTGGTTTCTCTTTCTGGTCTCTTTCTCTCTGGTCTCTCTCTCTGCTCTCTCTCTTTTGCATCTTTCATTGGTCTCTCTCACTGATGCCTCACCCTTTCCCACACAGCTCACACATGTAGGGCTTCTCTCCGGAGTGTCGCCGCAGATGGGTCTGCAGATTTCCCGCCTAAACAAACATTGGTTATTCAACCTTTTAACGTCTGTCATTGTCCATAACCACTCCCCCAATCCCTTAACCATATTTGACCAAAGAGGAGAGAGACTGACCTGAGAGAAATGTTTCCCACACACATTGCACTGAAACGGCTTCTCACCTGGAACAGGAACAAACACAAACACAGGTGAACGTCAGGATTCAGGGACAGACAAATATGCACACATCCACTTTGAAATGTATTTCTACATGTTTTATTTGCAATATTTTTGAAATAGTGCTGTTCAAATTGAGAAAAGTTTCACAGGTGGGAACAGGTTCTCTGGACCCGGTTTTAAAAGAGACCACTTGATTAAAAAGCAAGTTAAAAAGATGTGTTATAAAAAAACAGGTAAAAGAAAAAAAGCAATAAAAACCTAAGCTAAAAACAGGCTAAAATAGGCTAAAACCCCTCTCTTGGACACGGGGCTTTCCCTTGGCCGCTACTGCGCCCCGTGTCTCTCTCCGGCTTCCGGCTTCCTTCCCATCCTCCCCTTCCCCATCTCCTTTTGTAATCAAGGCACAGGTGTTCTAATTATTGTCACATCGGGAGCTGGGGTGCAAGTTAAAAACTATTATAAAAACACACACACAACATGCATAAAAAATGTAAATACACATGAAACCTTACTAAAACTCACCAACCATTTTGCACCCACCGACAAAAGCATTCCATAAGGGGCAAAAAGTTTGAACCTATTACTGCTTATAGTAACTGTAGTGATAGTGTCAGTAGCAGGAGTAGCAGCAGTAATATTTACCAGTGTGAGACCTCTTGTGCAGCTCCAGGTTACTCGGGTGCTTGAACACCTTCCCACAGTGGCTGCAGCAGTACTGGCGTGGGCCTGAGGGGCGCGCTGGCGGGACAGGGTCAGGGCTGTGGGCCCCAGTCTTCATCAGGGACTGAACCAGCACCTCCTGTTCTTCTTTCTCAGCACACGGAGGTGCTGCTGGTGGCTCCACACTGCTCTCCAGCTGAGTAAGATCAGAAAGAAACACGGTTTTTAACTGGGCCTCACTCTCTGGTCTCGCTCTCTGGTCTCGCTCTCTGGTCTCGCTCTCTGGTCTCGCTCTCTGGTCTCGCTCTCTGGTCTCGCTCTCTGGTCTCGCTCTCTGGTCTCGCTCTCTGGTCTCGCTCTCTGGTCTCGCTCTCTGGTCTCGCTCTCTGGTCTCGCTCTCTGGTCTCGCTCTCTGGTCTCGCTCTCTGGTCTCGCTCTCTGGTCTCGCTCTCTGGTCTCGCTCTCTGGTCTCGCTCTCTGGTTCTCGCTCTCTGGTCTCGCTCTCTGGTCTCGCTCTCTGGTCTCGCTCTCTGGTCTCGCTCTCTGGTCTCGCTCTCTGGTCTCCGCTCTCTGGTCTCGCTCTCTGGTCTCGCTCTCTGGTCTCGCTCTCTGGTCTCGCGCTCTCTGCTCTCTGGGTCTCGCTCTCTGGTCTCGCTCTCTGGTCTCGCTCTCTGGTCTCGCTCTCTGGTCTCGCTCTCTGGTCTCGCTCTCTGGTCTCGCTCTCTGGTCTCGCTCTCTGGTCTCGCTCTCTGGTCTCGCTCTCTGGTCTCGCTCTCTGGTCTCGCTCTCTGGTCTGGTCTCGCTCTCTGGTCTGGTCTCGCTCTCTGGTCTGGTCTCGCTCTCTGGTCTGGTCTCACTCTCTGGTCTGGTCTCACTCTCTGGTCTCACTCTCTGGTCTCACTCTCTGGTCTCACTCTCTGGTCTGGTCTCGCTCTCTGGTCTCACTCTCTGGTCTCACTCTCTGGTCTCACTCTCTACATGTCCTGTGACCTACTCACTGATTCTCAAGGTAAGGTCACCCTCGCTTTTTTCTAACTTTTTGGAATGGCTATCATTATTAACGAAGCTTGTTAATTTCTAGACTGGGACCAGCATCAAGATCATCTGCACTGGAAATCACAGAAGGCATCAACCCTAAAATTGGATTTCTGTGTCCAACAGTGTGCAATGTTGACAATGGAATGAGAATTTTCTATTGACAAGTATTTGGTAGCCAAATAAAAGGTATGTTAAAAAATGTTTGATCTTTTTGTCTATTTCACATTTTAGGATCTTGTGGAGTAACATCACTCAAAAATATGAGTTTCTTTTTAGGGAGTAAAATACATGGAGTAAATTAATAGTTCCTCTCTCAAGAAAAAACTATAGGAAAGATCAATATAAATGTTCTCTGCAGAGAGTGAATTTTACTATTAAAGAGGTAGAATATTTTACTCTAAATTGAAGAGAAATTACTCCGATTAACGACTCTATCAAAAGAGTTAATTGACTCTTTTTAGAGAGGGACCAAATTGTTATCAAAATGAGTTAAATTTTCCTCATTTGAAGTAACTTATCTATCGATTTTACTGTTTATGAACACATGATTTGATCCCCCACCGCACGTCACTGGTGTACCAGGTCTCTAATCTGCGCAAGCAGAGAAAGAGCGCTCAATGCTGCGACAGATTATTAGCCAGACAGAGCTTCATAAGCTACTCCGACAAGCATGGAGCGGGTTTGGGCTGCAATGAACGCAGATAGTATAACTTCTCGCTCCCGGCACACGCGAAGGTGGTGCGGCCGCACCCCCCGCACACCCATTCCGACGTCCTATGCTTATAGCGGTAAGAGGGAAATGAGTGGCGGACAGATACGCCTAAAAAGGTCGCAAGGATGGGCTCTGGATTCCCTTTAGAATAAGCAGGCAGAAGTGAAAAGTCCCTTATCAAAGTTAGAATTAAAAGAGATGTGCAGAGAAGCTGGTAGGAGGAGGATAAAGGAACGGTTTTTAATTGTTAAATGTGTCAGCATCAGAGTGGACATAGAAGGTAATAGGATAATAGAGGCAAATTCACCCTCCCGGAGAGAGTGAAGACGTGATAACACGACAGAAATTAGGACACCTACATGAACGGTACAGTTTAATGGGAAAACATCCTGGACAATTGTAGCACTGTGGAAAGAAAGTATTAAGGAATGTGTAAAGGATACAGAAGACCAAAGAGAGAGTTGCTTAAGTGATCTATGTGAAATGGGCACAACAGAACATTTTCCTTAAAAGAAGTAATTATGTGGGTGGTTCGGTAGGGGGGGTTAGAGTATGTTTTGCGTTTCCTTCGAAGCGCAGGGTTATTCTTTAGAATATAGAAGACAGAAGGACTGACGTGGGGCCGTCCTGGCCCACACTCCATTTCGGAAGGTGGCGGTAATGCACCTCAAGGTTGTTTGCCAACCGCCAATAAACCTCAATAGAAGCAGAAGAAGAAGAAGACCGTCACTGCTGCTGAGATAATTCTGTGGCTTAGGTTCAGGTGTGTAGCTCTACAATTATCTTAGTGTGTAATCAAGGTGGCATGAGACTTTCTGGAGTGTAAACTGTTGCTTTACGCAGCAATAACAACTGTCTGTTTTTTGTGTGTGACCAGAGCCGTCCCGTGCCAACAGGCAAGGCAGGCAGCTGCCTGGGGCCCCCAAACCAGCAGGGGCCCCCGAGGGCTGACTGATTTGACACAAGTACAGGCTACAACAGCTACCTGCAGTGACGAGTTGGCAGTTAAAACTTTTCGTCTGATGCGAAATCTTGCCACATTCATCATTAACGATTTTAAAAGCCTCCTTTTGCCTTCAAAACTGTCTTAATCCTTTGTGGCATAGATTCAACAAGGTACAGGACACATTCGTCAGAGTTTGGTCCATATTTGATAGCAACATGCAGTTTCTGCAGATTTGTCGGCTGCACATCCATGATGCGAATCTCCTTTTCCACCACATCCAAAAGTTGCTCTATTGGATTGAGATCTGGTGACTGTGGAGGCCATTACAGTGCAGTGAACTTATTGTCATTTTCAAGAAATCAGTCTGTGATGATATGCATTAACGTTGGATAGGTGTACCTAATAGAGTGGCCGGTGAGTTTAGTGACCAAGTATTATTATTTCCATATTATTGATTTTTTTCTTTCCATGATTGTAGGTGAGGCCGGAAAGCTCATGCCTTCGTTTGCGGGGGAAAACTATCTTTTCTTAGCCACACGCCTGCCCTTGTTACGACACTCCTCCCACATAGTCCTCCACTCCTCATATACAGACATGTGTTTCTGCAGTTTGTTGAAATTACTAAATGAAAACAAACTATGACAGTGACTTCTTTATCACAGAAAACAGTTGCCTGCAGCAGTTTCACAACATTCAACATTAGTGAGTAAACTGTTCACAGCAGCAGAAGTTACGTCCCTGAGCTTTAAACCACAGAACCCTGTGTTTGTGGACAATCGAGCATTAGTCTGTGTCCTGCAGAGTCTTCATGGCCAAACCCCATAACGTCACACTTGACATAAGGCCCGCCTCCCCGGCCCGTGCACCCCCTCCCCCACTCGAGGACTCATGTGGGCGGAGTCTACGGGGCTGGGGGTGTGTGGCTTCGGCCTGGTCCTCTGGGGGCGTGTCTCTGGGGGCGGGGCTCGCGCTGCTCTGCTCCTCGGTGGGGGGTGCAGTACCGGCTGTGACCAGCGGGGCGCCGCGACAGTGTTGCTCGCGGTGCCGGCGTAGCAGAGCTGAGCGGCTGAAGCTCCGGCCACATTCGCAGCACACGTACGGCCGCTCCCCCGTATGTGAGCGTACGTGTCGCTGCAGATCTCCGGAGCCTGAGAACGACCTCCCTGAAACAAACGAGTAATGTCCTGTTCATAAGCAGATCTGTAGCGGAGTTTAGCTCTGTCTACGTTCATACTGTAACCACAGGGGCGTTCACAAAAAAGCTCCCGCACAACAAGGAAGGATCCTCTCTCTCTCTCTCTCTCTCTCCCTGGTCTCTCTCTCTCTCTGGTCTCTCTCTCTCTCTGGTCTCTCGCTCTCTCTGGTCTCTCGCTCTCTCTGGTCTCTCGCTCTCTCTGGTCTCTCGCTCTCTCTGGTCTCTCTCTCTCCCTGGTCTCTCTCTCTCCCTGGTCTCTCGCTCTCTCTGGTCTCTCGCTCTCTCTGGTCTCTCGCTCTCTCTGGTCTCTCGCTCTCTCTGGTCTCTCGCTCTCTCTGGTCTTTCGCTCTCTCTGGTCTCTTGCTCTCTGTTCTCTCGCTCTCTGGTCTCTTGCTCTCTTGCTCTCTGGTCTCTTGCTCTCTGGTCTCTCGCTCTCTGGTCTCTCGCTCTCTGGTCTCTCGCTCTCTGGTCTCTCTCTCTCTGGTCTCTCTCTCTCTGGTCTCTTGCTCTCTGGTCTCTCGCTCTCTGGTCTCTCGCTCTCTCTGGTCTCTCTCTGGTCTCTCTCTCTGGTCTCTTGCTCTCTGGTCTCTCGCTCTCTGGTCTCTCGCTCTCTCTGGTCTCTCTCTGGTCTCTCTCTCTCTGGTCTCTCTCTTGGTCTCTCTCTCTCTGGTCTCTCTCTCTCTGGTCTCTCTCTCTCTGGTCTCTTTCTGTGATCAATCTCTCTCTCTCTCTCTGGTTTCTCTCTCTAGTCCCTCTCTCTCTCTGGTTTTGAATCTCTCACCACAGGTCTCACAGCTGTGAGGTTTCTCTCCAGAATGGCGTGCTCGATGCTTGAGCACTTTCCTCGCTGTGTTGAACGATTTCCCGCACTGGTCACATGTGAAGCTCTGCTCAGTGGAGTGAGTGCGTTTGTGCTCCTTCAGGTTACTCATGTTATTAAAGCCTGGACACAGAGGAGTATATGCAGCAGTAATACAATCATCTGTAGTAGGGCAGTAGACTACGTAGGATTTTAAAGCCTGGACAAAACTAACAATACATAGCTTTTGTATAGAAATTATGTTTTATTCTTAGATAAAAAATAATGTAGGCAGTAGAAGTAGTGTCAGTCATAATAACAGTAATAGCAGCTGTAGTTGCAGTAGCAGTACTTTTACCTCTCCCACAGATGTCACACAGATGCGGTTTCTCTCCACTGTGGACGACTCTGTGTCTTTGAACGTCTCCAGCGGCAGTAAACCTGAAACAGAATGGGATGTGAGGTCTCTTTCTGTGGTGTCTCTCTCTCTCTGGTCTCCCTCTCTGGTTTCTCTTTCTGGTCTCTTTCTCTCTGGTCTCTCTCTCTGCTCTCTCTCTTTTGCATCTTTCATTGGTCTCTCTCACTGATGCCTCACCCTTTCCCACACAGCTCACACATGTAGGGCTTCTCTCCAGAGTGTCGCCGCAGATGGGTCTGCAGATTTCCCGCCTAAACAAACATTGATTATTCAACCTTTTAACGTCTGTCATTGTCCATAACCACTCCCCCAATCCCTTAACCATATTTGACCAAAGAGGAGAGAGACTGACCTGAGAGAAATGTTTCCCACACACATTGCACTGAAACGGCTTCTCACCTGGAACAGGAACAAACACAAACACAGGTGAACGTCAGGATTCAGGGACAGACAAATATGCACACATCCACTTTGAAATGTATTTCTACATGTTTTATTTGCAATATTTTTGAAATAGTGCTGTTCAAATTGAGAAAAGTTTCACAGGTGGGAACAGGTTCTCTGGACCCGGTTTTAAAAGAGACCACTTGATTAAAAAGCAAGTTAAAAAGATGTGTGTTATAAAAAAACAGGTAAAAGAAAAAAAGCAATAAAAACCTAAGCTAAAAACAGGCTAAAATAGGCTAAAACCCCTCTCTTGGACACGGGGCTTTCCCTTGGCCGCTACTGCGCCCCGTGTCTCTCTCCGGCTTCCGGCTTCCTTCCCATCCTCCCTTCCCCATCTCCTTTTGTAATCAAGGCACAGGTGTTCTAATTATTGTCACATCGGGAGCTGGGGTGCAAGTTAAAAACTATTATAAAAACACACACACAACATGCATAAAAAATGTAAATACACATGAAACCTTACTAAAACTCACCAACCATTTTGCACCCACCGACAAAAGCATTCCATAAGGGGCAAAAAGTTTGAACCTATTACTGCTTATAGTAACTGTAGTGATAGTGTCAGTAGCAGGAGTAGCAGCAGTAATATTTACCAGTGTGAGACCTCTTGTGCAGCTCCAGGTTACTCGGGTGCTTGAACACCTTCCCACAGTGGCTGCAGCAGTACTGGCGTGGGCCTGAGGGGCGCGCTGGCGGGACAGGGTCAGGGCTGTGGGCCCCAGTCTTCATCAGGGACTGAACCAGCACCTCCTGTTCTTCTTTCTCAGCACACGGAGGTGCTGCTGGTGGCTCCACACTGCTCTCCAGCTGAGTAAGATCAGAAAGAAACACGGTTTTAACTGGGCCTCACTCTCTGGTCTCGCTCTCTGGTCTCGCTCTCTGGTCTCGCTCTCTGGTCTCGCTCTCTGGTCTCGCTCTCTGGTCTCGCTCTCTGGTCTCGCTCTCTGGTCTCGCTCTCTGGTCTCGCTCTCTGGTCTCGCTCTCTGGTCTCGCTCTCTGGTCTCGCTCTCTGGTCTCGCTCTCTGGTCTCGCTCTCTGGTCTCGCTCTCTGGTCTCGCTCTCTGGTCTCGCTCTCTGGTCTCGCTCTCTGGCTCGCTCTCTGGTCGCTCCTGGTCTCGCTCTCTGGTCTCGCTCTCTGGTCTCGCTCTCTGGTCTCGCTCTCTGGTCTCGCTCTCTGGTCTCGCTCTCTGGTCTCGCTCTCTGGTCTCGCTCTCTGGTCTCGCTCTCTGGTCTCGCTCTCTGGTCTCGCTCTCTCTGGTCTCGCTCTCTGGTCTCGCTCTCTGGTCTCGCTCTCTGGTCTCGCTCTCTGGTCTCGCTCTCTGGTCTCTGGTCTCGCTCTCTGGTCTCGCTCTCTGGTCTCGCTCTCTGGTCTCGCTCTCTGGTCTCTCTCTCTGGTCTCGCTCTCTGGTCTCTCCTGGTCTGGTCTCGCTCTCTGGTCTGGTCTCGCTCTCTGGTCTGGTCTCGCTCTCTGGTCTGGTCTCACTCTCTGGTCTCTGGTCTCACTCTCTGGTCTCACTCTCTGGTCTCACTCTCTGGTCTCACTCTCTGGTCTGGTCTCGCTCTCTGGTCTCACTCTCTGGTCTCACTCTCTGGTCTCACTCTCTGGTCTCACTCTCTGGTCTCACTCTCTGGTCTCACTCTCTGGTCTCACTCTCTGGTCTCACTCTCTGGTCTCACTCTCTGGTCTCACTCTCTGGTCTCACTCTCTGGTCTGGTCTCGCTCTCTGGTCTCACTCTCTGGTCTCACTCTCTGGTCTCACTCTCTGGTCTCACTCTCTGGTCTCACTCTCTGGTCTCACTCTCTGGTCTCACTCTCTGGTCTCACTCTCTGGTCTCACTCTCTGGTCTCACTCTCTGGTCTGGTCTCGCTCTCTGGTCTCACTCTCTGGTCTCACTCTCTAGTCTCACTCTCTGGTCTCACTCTCTGGTCTCACTCTCTGGTCTCACTCTCTGGTCTCACTCTCTGGTCTCACTCTCTGGTCTCACTCTCTGGTCTCACTCTCTGGTCTCACTCTCTGGTCTCACTCTCTGGTCTCACTCTCTGGTCTCACTCTCTGGTCTCACTCTCTGGTCTCACTCTCTGGTCTCACTCTGGTTTTTCTCACCAGTGTGTTTGTGGCTGGAGCCTCAGAGCTCTTCTCCTCCAGAGCTCTCTGAGAGCGCAGGTAATTGTACTTCTTCAGATACACAGTTTTCTTGGGTCGCACCAGTGCACTGCTGCTGCTGCTGCTGTCAGGAGGGGGGAGAGAGGAGGGGCCAGGGGTGAGAGGGGAGGGACCTGGGGGGAGGATCTCTGCACACATAGCCTCACACACCGGCTCAGGCATGGTGGTCGGGATGAGGGGCCTGGAGTTCTGTGGGTTGGTAAGAGGATCTGCTGTGTGTGAAGTGCTTGGGTGCGGTGCTCGGGGGCACGGGCTCGGCTGAGGATTTGGGTGAACTGGGGGAAAGTGTGGCTGATTAAACTGCGTCTGTGTCGAGATTGGTTGAGTTTGCGTTTGGGCCATAAGTGGGTGAGTGTGACCATGGCTCTGCGTTTGACCCTGCTGCAGCTGTGGGTCTCCCGGGCCCTGACCCGCCTCGCTGGCTGTGTCCTGCAGCTGTTTGAAGTACTGGCGGCTGTAGAAGTCCCGGAGCTTGTACCCGTGCTGCAGCTGTTTCTCGGGTCGCGTGGGCTCGGGTCGTGTGGGCTCGGGATCCAGGGGTTTGCTGCTTGACTCGGGCACGTCCGCATCATTACTGCACAGAGATTTAGAAAACCCAGCTTTATCTTTGTTCATTCCCATTCCCAATTTGGAAAAGCCCCTGATGTTACACACTGAGCACACTGAGTGTGTTAGAACAATTGGGCCTTCAAATAGAAAGAGAGACAGAGAAGGACCAGAAAGAGATAGTGTGAGAGAGACTAGAGAAAGAGACCAGCGGGAAAGAGACCAGAGAGTTTCAGTGTGAGGTCGCCAAGAAGGAGGAACCACTTGGTCCTGGTTTTGGTCTGGTTTTCACAACATGTATGTTTGGCCTCTGTCACATCTTTAGATTAGAGTAGACTAGCCTCAGCCCAAAGAGTCAAATAGTGACTCACAGGGTTCTCTCTGAATAGATGAAGACAGCTGTAACTGACCTAAGGATGCAGTCTGCCGCCAGCACAGCGCCCTCCTCAGGACTCGGGTGTAGCTGCACCACACACGGCTTCAGGAACGTCTGGACCATGGTCTGAAGGTTGGACACCTGAGGAACACAGGACTGGACCATCACAACCCAAGACCAACAGGGGACCCGACAGCGATCTCCCACGGACTGTCCAAGAGTGTGCCCGAGAGCACTTCTCCCTTGGCGAGATAATTCCCTCTGATGGCAGACTCTGGGCAGACTCAGGGGCAGACGGGGCAGACTAGGGTAGACTCTCTCTTACCTGTAGACTCTGGGCCAGTTCAGACAGCGCCGTCACGTTCTCTGCTGTGATGTCGACGTGTGATGTGTACATGTAGTCGAGCAGCTGACCGAAGCCAGACACGTCCTGAGTCAGAAGGGGGAAGACCTCACTCCTGTGAGGAGGAGCAGCCTGGAACAGGGACCTGAGGAGGAGGAGAGGAGGAGCTGAGAGATCTTAAGAGGAAGATAGAGACCTGAGGAGGAAGAGAGAAACCTGAGTAGTAGAAGAGAAAGAGATGAGAGACCTGGGGAGGAGAGGAAGAGGAGGTGAGAGACCTGAGTCTTGTGGGGAACAGAGAACTAAGGAGGAGGAGAGGAGAGACCTGAAGAAGAGAGGAGGAGGTGAGAGAGAGGAGGAGGAGAAGGAAGACCTGACAAAGGATTTTAGGGACCTCTCTCTGGTCTCTATCTTTAGTCTAGTTTCTTCATAGAGTGTATTTGAGGGGTCACACCTGAAGTAGCAGCTGAATGCTGCCAGTACATTCTTGTGAGCCTTGAAGCAGACACCATTCACAACCAGAGTGCAGTCACAGAGGAGGCCCTGGATCCTCTGCTCCTGCAGCTGCTGCAGGAGGTACGCACTGTGGCTCTGCTCCATCAGGGTGAAAGGGTGAGGGAGGGGTCTGGCTGTGGTGAGAGCCTTCAAGCACCACCAAGAAGAACATCAAAAAGAACAAAAGTTTCTTAATCTTTGAACTTTAAAGCAGGGTACTTAAGTCTCATAATAATTTTTTTTAAAGCTGGGGTACACATAACTATAGCCTCATAAATATCATGTAGTTTGAAAAAAAAAGTCTTGTGAATGTTGTGAACAAATCAGGCCGCACCATGATATCTTATAGTGTTAGAATGAGCCCTGTGAATCACCATTTGACTTTTCTGTCCGACAAAGCTGATCTAAAGATGTGACAGAGGCAAAAAAGAAATCCATAAATTTTCTTCCACTTTATTCATTGCCGGGTTACAATTGATTCCTCCAGATCATCTAGGGGAAATCCTGAGGCGTTCCCAGGTCAGCTGAGAGTCACGTTCCCTCCAGCGTGTCCTGGGTCTTCCCCTGGTCTCCTCCTGGTGGGACTGGTCCAGAACACCTCCCCAGGGAGGCGGGCAGGAGGCATCCCAAACAGATGCCTGAGCCACCTCAACTGTCTGCTCTCCATATAGACGGGCAGGGGTTCTACCTCTAGCTCTTCATCCTCCACACACTCTACAGAGGATACCCTTAAGGACCGCTTGTACCAAAAATCCATTTATATGAAAACTAGAGAGGAAAGCGACAGTGTCAGAGCCGCAACAATTTGTTTTTTTTTTTTTTTTTTACAGAGTTCTATATTGATATTCGCCGTGACGTCCACATTCGGTCACGTGATGCAGTGGTTGGCAATACATTTGAACAGGAATTGTGGCTTATGGAGCGAACACCGATGGAAACAGGTTTGATAATGTAATCTCAAGAGCGTCTACCGAGTTAGAAACACGGAAGGCCTGAATCAAGAAAAAAGTTTTGCATTCCAAAGAATTGGCATAAATTGATAAAACTACGGTGAACTGCTTCGAACGGAACTGGAGACATGTTGATGTTTTTTTTATGCGGCCTCACGCATATGTGCGCCGGAGAATATCCCCCGTTGGTGTGGTCTGAGAGCTTCGTACCCCAATTGTAAAGTTACGTGCCCCAGCTTTAAAGTTATACTTCTGTTCAAATTTGACAATCAATCATTGACAGATTCGTACTTCTCTAGACTTTACCCGTGTGATATATTAATACATACATGATTATGTCTGATGTCTGAAATAAACACAGGGCTCTGTACGCGGACCGCTCAGGCGAAAATCAGTCCGTCTTCCCGTTCCACGCACCTCCTTTACGGTTAGTTTAGTTGAGTTTCTCCGCCCTTATACGGACCTCCACATGGACTCTGCTCCCCTAAAAGTCCCGCGCGCGAAACACTGCGGATAATTGCGGGTTTCGGCACAGATCTGCGGACTCTGCCTTTTGTTCGGATGACGGGTCAGGCAGGGACACTTCCTGCTGCATCAGGTATTTTGGTCCGGGCACTTTTTCTCGACAAACAAAAACATAACAGTTTATGTTCAATAATAAATACATTAATAAAAAAGGGTGCAACAAAAACCTATTATTATTATTATATTTTTTATGATCATTATTATAATAATAATTTGTATATTTGTTTTTGTTATTATTGTTGCTGTTAGTAGTGTAGTAGTAGTAATGGTAGTAGTAGAAGTGTTGGTAGTAGGATTATTATTACTATTTCTATTAGGATAGGAGAATATTTATTTGTAACCAACGGGGGAAATGTCAGTGTTACAGCTACAGTGCTCGTAGGTGCACACAACATACACAGAGAGAAGTAGTAGAGTCCGGAACACTTCAGCCTGTGTCCTGTTTCCACCGGGATGTGGCTCACGTAGCACCGCTCGTTCTGCTGTAGGCTGGCTGTGGTCACGTGTATTTGTGTTCGTCCCGCTGCGGTTCAAAGCTCCTGGATACCCGTCCCTTTAACGCCCTGTCCCCCGGTTCTCTGTACTCCCTCCTCTTCCCCGGGATCCCCTACAGCTCCTGGGCCTCACACGGCTCCTTTCTCGGTTCACAGAGCTCAGATTCCCGCTTGGAGATGGTGTTCTTCACGTGTGATGCGTGCGGAGAGTCTCTGAAGAAGGCACAGGTCGAGAAGCACGTGTCTCACTGCCGGAATTGCCGCGTTTTGTGCTGCATAGACTGCGGGAAAGATTTCTGGTGAATATCCACACGTTTCCAACGGTTACAAATTCACGTTTTCTGCAGTTGGCGTGAGTTACACCCTCATACATCAGCTGATCCCAGCGCATGCGACCGGAACAAGGACCACATAAACACAACCAGAACCGATCCATTCTACTGATAACTTTCTAAAGATTCTAGAGTTTCACACTGTGGCGGAGCAAAGCTGTAAAGTCTTTACAAAGTTCACCAACAACCATCACTGTCCGTAGACAGTCCTAGTACTGAGGCTGTAGATCCAGGTCTGAGGCACTGCGTTTGTTTTGTTTTTTTCAGGGGAGACGACTACAAGAGCCACGTGAGGTGCATCAGTGAAGATCAGAAATATGGAGGAAAAGGGTTCGAGGCCAAAGCAAACAAAGGCGACGTGAAGCAGCAGCAGTGGCTTCAGGTACAACTCTGTGATAGAGTCCTCACTAGTTTAAGCAAAATCTTTTTACAGAGTCTGGTCCTTGTCATTGTGTTTAAAACTGTCATACTCTCTCTGGTCTTTCTCTTTCCCTGGTCTCACTTCTGATTCTTCTTCTTGCAGAGGGTACACATGGCCCTGTCCAGACCCGGCTTGAGCTCCAGTCTGCAGAATGTCCTGCAGCAGGTCTCCGCGTACGACAACGTCCCAAGGAAGAAGGCCAAGTTCCAGGTCTGTCTGTTCTGTCCCTGCTTTTGTACATCTCACACGGTGCGATCGGACTGAACACAATGTTTAAAGAGCCACATGTGACTTGAGACAGTCCATGACGTCATAGTAACGGTTACCAGTGTGTTTCTAATGCGCCGCGTGTATACTCCAACAACCTCACTCTGGTTTCTCTTTACTACGGTACTACTGCGACCACTGCTCCTGACGGACGCCCTAGTGGCATTACAGGATGATTCAACTTTCCCTACAAGGATGTGAAGAGTTCGTTCAAAGTGTTGTACAAAAGTCAACATCTTTCTGACCTGAGTAATCAGTTTTTTCACATTTATTTACACCCAGCATCCAAAACAGTGAACAGTTGAAAAATATGTTCAGTGCAGGAAAAAGCAGACAAACAAAAACAGGACTCACTGCCAACTCACTTTCATGGACCCCAAATCACTCTCCCCACCCAGGAGTGAGAACACACTCCTTTTTAACCCTTAGCCCCACGCCTGGGCTAAACCAATACTAATTGACAGGGTATTATTTTTAAACAAAGGTAATTTCATAGGACCTCTACAAAATGTCCCCATCTTGTACCCCAGTGCGAACGGCCTCCCCACTTTATATAAAAGAGTAACGCACAATAGAACAATCCACAATTTAATGAATTTGATGACAAAGTCCTCTGGCCCACCAAATATGCGCAACCTTGCGCCATATATGGTACGACCAGGAAGTGCCTCGGTTTGGCCAGTTGACCAAGACATCAACAGCAGTTAAAGGAGCAATATGTAATATTTGCATGTCAAGTCATCATTAAATGACCCGAATATTTCAAAAGGCAATAATAAATCATGTTCTTTTCAAACACATCTTTAACTGATAACAGTAGTTCAGCCGAGATATTTGATTATCAAAATTAGTTTTACGACCCGTAAAAGTTGTTATTGTTTTGATTTTGATGTCCTTCCCTCCGCCGTTTCGCCAATCAGGAAGTGTCATGTAAGTCCGTGATCGGGTTGCCAGAACTCCGTGCGGCTCACTAATCTCAGAGGTAAAATAACATGTGGCGCAGAACTAAAAAAGGTATTTTTACATATTGTTCCTTTAAGTTGTGTGTGGGCGACGTGATGATATGGGTCTGTATTTGACAAGTGTGAACCCTTGTGCGCTACAGGGACAGTATCGGCGAGGGAAGAGTCTGTAGTGATGCGAGGCCGCACGGTCACAAGCTGTCAGGACTAGGAGCAACCAGGACTGCTCCTAGTCCCACGGCAGAAGCTTTGGCATGGACCAAGAACCGCTGTCCGTCACTAATGCTCCTTCACAGAGGATAAATAAAGTTTTCCTTAACTTAATCATAACCTGGTCTCTTTTGGCTCTCTCTCTCCAAGCTGTCATATACGTTAAAGGGCAACACATACTTCAGATAACTAGGGGGGGTAAAAATACATCTAACTCCAGTTCCACTTTGTTCTTCACTGGTGTCTCCTCAGAACTGGATGAGGAGCAGCCTCAGGATCAACAGCTCCTCCTTACAAGAGCAGGTGTGGGACATCCTGTCTGCAGAGGCCGAGGTGAGGATCAGGGTTGGGTGGGTGGTGGGTGTACAAATGTGTTTCCACGGACCGCACTCGACTGACTCCACCGACTCGCTTCAGCCGCTACCCAAAACTTTTTTAGTTTTCCACAACTGATAACAGCTTGTGGAAAAAAGCTGTTAGCATGACGAGATGTCCTGCATCACAGAGAACGATATCTTCTGCCAAAGGGAAGAAGCTGGAACATGGCTTTTCCAGGGTGGCCAGAAGAGTCATTGACAATCCTAAGAGCTTTGTTTAAAAGTCTGGATTTATAAAGAACCTCCAGAACAAGAAGCTCACAGCCCACGGTCCTCTTTGCAGAGCGGAGCACCTTGTTTAAAGCTCTCTTTTCTTTATCTGTGATGTTTCCAAACCACACAGACACAGAACCAACAAGTAAACTCTCAATGGTGCAGCGATAAAAGTTAAGCAGAATCTTAGAGTTAATCGTAAATTCTCTAAGTTTTCGCAGGAAATAGAGACGCTGACGAGCTTTCTTAACGACTCGGTCAGTGTTTTTAACCCATTTCAGGTCGTTAGACAGAGTTAAACCCAGAAACTTGCACTCACACAATCTGTACCTGGGAGTTGTCGATAGCAACAGGAGTGTGAGAACTGAGTTGTTAGTTTTACTCCACTGAAGCACATTTTGTATCTCTGCTCTATAAGAGGATTCATCATTGTCACTGATGAGACCGATGATGGTGGTGTCATCAGCATATTTAATGATCAAGTTTGAGTCAGAGGAAGCCACACAATCGTGAGTGTACAAAGTAAAAAGCAAAGGACTCAAAATACATCCCTGAGGAGAACCAGTGCTCACAGAAACAACATCAGAAAAACAGTCATTGATTTTCACTCTCTGAGATCTGTCAGTTAAAAAGCTAAAAATCCATTTACACATGGCAACACTTAAACCGAGAGACATGAGCTTTTCAATCAGTTTACCTGGGACAAGGCAGTTAAAAGCAGAGCTATAATCGATGAAAAGCATTCTCGCGACAGATTTACTAGTGTCCAAGTGACTGTAGACAGAGTTCAGAGCAAAGGAGATGGCATCCTCCACACTCCTGTTCTGTCTGTAAGCAAACTGGAGCGGGTCAACGCTCACAGGGATCTGGCTCTTAATGAAGTCCAGCACAAGCCGCTCAAAAGTTTTCATAAGAACAGACGTGAGGGCCACAGGACGATAGTCATTAAGGCATGTCACAGGATTTTTCTTAGGAACTGGAATGATGGTCGACCCTTTAAAGCAGTTCGGCCCAGTACAGTTCCTTAGCGACAGGTTGAATATGTCTGTTAGCACAGGGGCAAGTTGCTCAGAGCACAGTTTCAGGACACGGGGTGGGATGCCGTCCGGGCCTGGGGCTTTCCGGACTGTGGTCCTGGACAAGACACGCCTGACTTCCTCCTGAGTCACGGTGAAGGTACCTTGATTGAGAGAATCAGGGAATACAGTAGGACAGGCATCAGCAGATTCAAAGCGACAGTAGAACGTGTTCAGCTCTTTTGGCAGAGCTTGGCCAACTGATGCAATTTTCCCAGCACTAGGTTTCCAGGACGTAATGGCTTTAATACCGTTCCACATGCGCCGAGGGTCGTCTTCCTCAAAATAACCCTTTAACCTGTCCCCGTAACTGCGCTTTGCAGATTTAATAGAACGTTTCAATGAGTAACAGGATAGCTTATAAGCAGCTGTATCATTAGATTGAAACGCCAAAGCACCCTCATGAAGTTTCAGTTTTACTTCCGCGTTCATCCAAGTCAATACCAAAACAATCTGAGGTTGGCAAACGTCAATTGTGATTGATCAGAGGCGCTGTCACTTACTCTTCAGCTGCTGCGTCAGCTGTTGCAAAAAACATAACATGTTGCCTCAACCCATAAAGACGTCGGACAGAAAACAATTCCTTGGTTGCTGGATGAGGGCAACACATTCCTCAGTTTGAGGAGAAGACACCAGCCTGAGCTGGATGGTGCCACCCGAAATAGAAGGTGTTAGCGCTAAGGATGGAGGAGAATGGATGTCCACAGACATCATCACAGAGCAGCGAAAAGTTAAGAAGCTTAAAATTGACTACTGTGAAATGAAAGATCACAACAGCAAAAGTGGGCAGAACTGAAGGTGGAGTCTGGAGATGGTTTGACTTAGGGCTGGGCAATAAATCGAATTTAGGCAATTAATCGGCTTTTGAAATAATCTAATTTGTGAAAAATCTGAAAATCGTGAAATCAGATTGATGAGAGTTCCAGCAGCACAAGAATTATACTTGCAATATCAGCACAGTCTGTACAAGACTTTTATAATACGTATTGGGGGAAACAAATTAAAAATAGTTTTGAAACTTGAATATTGAGCGGAAAGATCAAAACATATTTTTAAGTCTGTCTTCAGTGACTTAAATGAAAATCGATAAAAAATCAATCTTCCGAAGCCGGAAGTAAAATTGAGATTTTACTTTTTTGCCATATCGCCCAGCCCTAGACTTTGACCAAATGGATACAATTTACGGACATCAGCTAACACCAGCTACACCGGGAGAGATTCTTCACTCTGACTCGCATCTGACCAATCACAATTGACATTCGCCAACGTCAGATTGTTTAGGTATCTATCCGGCCCGGCTAGAACCAGGGCCAAGCCGTTACTAGAAAAGTATTGGGTAGCAGCTAAAGCGAGCCTGTGGAAACGGCTATTTTTATTTTTATTGTAGAAATAAAAGATTTACTGCAAGCATGTGAAATGTCAGCGGAGAGGAGGAGACCAGGGGAGAGCGAGGAGAGGAGGAGACCAGGGGAGAGCGAGGAGGAGACCAGGGGAGAGCGAGGAGGAGACCAGGGGAGAGCGAGGAGGAGACCAGGGGAGAGCGAGGAGGAGACCAGGGGAGAGCGAGGAGGAGACCAGGGGAGAGCGAGCGAGGAGGAGACCAGGGGAGAGCGAGCGAGGAGGAGACCAGGGGAGGAGGAGACCAGGGGCGAGGAGGAGACCAGGGGCGAGGAGGAGACCAGGGACGAGGAGGAGACCAGGGGCGAGGAGGAGACCAGGGGCGAAGAGGAGACCAGGGGCGAGCGAGGAGGAGACCAGGGGCGAGCGAGGAGGAGACCAGGGGAGAGCGAGGAGGAGACCAGGGGCGAGCGAGGAGGAGACCAGGGGCGAGCGAGGAGGAGACCAGGGGAGGGCGAGGAGGAGACCAGGGGAGGGCGAGGAGGAGACCAGGGGAGAGGAGGAGGGGATTTAAATGTACTATTTAACTGAACATGTCACCTTTTGTGTTTTCACAGAAGGACACGCCCCCTCTCCAACAGACCACGCCCCCTCCTCAACAGATCACGCCCCCACAAACCACACAACAAAAACACACAAATGGCGAGATTGAAAATGGAGCAAAAAACACAAAAAAACCAAAACTGAACAAGCAGGAGCGCAGAGAAGCGAGACGCAACGGGGCCAAGAAGGACCAGGCCCAAGCCCAAGACCAGGACTTAAACCAGGACTCTGACTCTGCTCTGAGGAAGAAGGAGCGCAAGAGGAAACACAGACAAGACCAAAACAACGAAACAGAAACCAAAAAAGCCAAGAGTAAGAAGCATTTGAGGATGAGGAAGTTTAAACCACACAACTATATATTAGCTGTGATGTCGTACGATACAAGTCAGGTGGCTGGTGATGTCACATACAGAGAGATGTGGAAGATGCAGTACAAAAAAGAGCATTGACTTAACAATTGAGGATGTGAAGAATAATTGAACCTCTCATTTCAGCTGAAGATGAGATGACAGAAGACCCAGAGGAGGAGGAGGAGCAGCAGGAGGAACAGGAGGAGGCAAAGGCCAAAGGTAAAACATCCCATTCATGAGTCATGACTTTACAAAGTCGTGGATTCACCAACAACAGATCAGAGAATCAGAGAGGAAATGATAAATAACGAAAACAAACGCACCTGAGCCATTGGTCCACTGTTATTCTCTCTCGCACCATTACTATTGTTTGCATTATGTTATAATATGTTCAAGTTACAAAAAATGCAAGATGTGTAAGAAACTGAAAGAGTTAAAGGTTTTATGTGATATAGTAAGTATAACACAAAACTCCTAAGTTCTTGTGTTCTTTTGTTAGATTAGTTTGAAAACTTTACACGCTGTCTCTGTCCGCGTCTGTCTGTCTCTCTCTGTCTGTGTGTGTCTCTGTGTGCGTCTGTCTCTGTCTCTCTGCATCTGTCTGTGTCTGTATCTTTGTCTGTGTGTGTCTCTGTTTGCGTCCGTGTCTGTCTCTCTGCGATCTCTCTGCATCTGTGTGTCTCTCTGCATCTGTCTGCGTCTGTCTCTGTCTGCGTCTGTCTGCGTCTGTGTCTGTCTGCGTCTGTCTCTGTCTGCATCTGTCTCTGTCTGCGTCTGTGTTTCCGTCTGCGTCTGTCTCTCTGTCTGTGTGTCTGATCAGTACTGTTTAAGTTCTTCAGCCTCTGGTTTCACTTCTTCTTGTCGTTCAGGAAAGTTTAACTGGAAGGGGAACATCAGAGCTCTGCTGCGAGAGACTGACGACCAGGAGCTGTCTGTGAAGAAACTGCGCAAAAAGGTCAGAGTTCAACTGCGTGCACTTCAGTCTCAAAAACGGACCCTGCCTTTTAGTTTGTGACATGAGCTGTTTAAAGGAGTCTGTGAAATACTGTGACCGTCTGGATGCGCTGATAACGGATACGGCTGTTAACTGAGTCTTCCTCGGTCAAAATGAACAGGCAATCTCCAGGTGTACAGTTGAGATGTTCATTGAAGACGAGGGCACAGGTATATTTCAGACGTAGATGGTGAATTGGGAGGTTAATGGTTTCATATGAGTGGGTTGCAAGTTGAGGAGAGAGTATCCAGGTACTAAGGAGGGTAAAGGGCTGGTATACGGATGGACGATGAAGGTGTGGATTTGTGTGTATGGGTGTAGTTATCTGAAATAAACAGAAAGATGAGATGTACATAAGAAATAGCCTATTAGACTATGAACACAGATATACTGTAATAAATGAGTGAAATTACAACCACTCCCCACAAGGGGATGCTCTAACTCTATACATGTGGAATGTTATAAGGGAAAGGCAAAAAACTATGTGTAGCAGAAATGCGCTGTTCTAAACTTTATACACTCAAGCAAAATATGTATCTTATCCAAATAAAGCAGGGCATATTCTTCAGTGTGCCCCGATGCGATGGACGCTCCTACAGTTATGCACGTGGCACATGACAAACATGTTGTGGCTATAAGTAGGGAGCGCGGCAATTAACGGTATATACATTCAGAAATGCGAAAATACACCTTGGCACACAATACTCAGACGCACACAGAACTTATACACACAGGATGAATGATGTATGACATGAACAGTTCTGAACATGGATACGGGAGACAGCCCTTGGGGAACTACAGTCATGCATCGTGGGGAATGTAGTGACAGACTTTTAACAAAATTATTCCCTTCTGAAAGGCTACAAAGATTACAGGGAGGCCAGAGGTTGAGGGAGACCAGCCCGAGCCGATGATGCAGTTCTTATATTTGTCTTTTGAACGAAATTTGAATGTGATCTGTTCATTTGTAAAAGCTGAGTGTACTTCCCCTCGTCTGGTCTCTGGTGCCATTAAACCTCCTTCCCTCTGCTGCAGGTGCTGGCTGCGTACTACTCCTTCAGCGCAGACTCCAATCATAAATCACAAGAGGAAGTTCTGGCTCTTTTCAACAAGAAAATCAACAATAATCCCAAGTTCAGAGTTTTGAAAGACAAAGTCAAACTTATCAAATGATTGCTCTGTCTGTTTTTACATAAATGTTCTATTTCTGAAGTTACGTGTGGTTTTTCATGTGGAAGAAACTGAATCGTACCCTGTATACAGATGGAAAATGCTTACATAGACTTGTATGCCTGCTAGCTCAATGAAGTCCAATAAGGAAGTGATCATGGCCAAAGTTTGACTTCTATTGACCTGAGATGAGATGTACTTTAGTATCTCACAATGGAGAAATTCAGACTTGCATGTAAAAGTAAACTAGCTCAGTAAGTTTGTGTCACCCTTACCAATTTGAGCTGATCCTAGTGTTAATGTCACAATATTGTCTTTGTAAATCCAGCTGTTAGCCATATAAGGATTAACTAATGCGGTGCCTTAGATCAGGGGAAACTCTATTTACCGTTGCAGCGCAAAGGTAACGCCGTGGAATAAATGCTTATATAAGGAAATGGGCTACAGCTTTTGTTCAAATCTGCTTCTTCCGCATTAAGGATTGCAGAATGTTGATGTTACTGTCAGTCCACTCCTGATAAACGTTATGAGCTGAGGCATTAAAAATGTAAATATTGAAAATTTTACTTGGAATATGGAGCATGTAAGACTGTGATTGGATTAACTAAGATACAAAGTGAAAGGGATGTGTTTTATATTAACTTCAAAATAAACCTATTTAAAACAAAGATCACATTTAAAGAGTGTTTGGTAAATCTATGACACAAAAGCTTTGTGGGTTTTTGTGCATGTTCTTAAATATAAGTGAAATGCTTGAAGTAGCAGATGCTGCATCTTCAGATCAAGTTTTCACAAGTTGATCACATGGTTTATCAGAGAAATAATTTCCATTTTTGAAGTATCTGATACATCAGCCTGTTTACTTTTTAATATGTTTAACTAATAGTCCTTGTGTGTATTTAAATCCTGTGTTCATCTTGCTTTAGTGTTTTCTTCCAGGTATCTTTATCTTGGATTTCTTTTGTTTATTAAATCTCTTAATTGGGGCAGTCTAATCGTGTGCACCTGTAACTTCAGAGTTCTTTGTGGGAACCAACTCTGATGTGAATTTTGGCTCCTAATGACATAAAAGTAAACTCTAGCCCAGTAACCATCTTTGTAGATTCAGATATGAGACATTTAAGGCTGGAACCAATTAGATGCCCCCCTTTCATTACACTTAGCTAACATCAACAGCTCAAATTGGCACCCACCCATGGATCTATTATAACTCTAGCTCCCACCAAGTATTGTGAAAATGATTTATGTATAAAAGTGTAATAATAAATATATTAGTAATGTGATCATACTAAAACAAATATAACACTTCATTAATGAGCAGGAAAAAACAGACCAGGGAGACCCAAAGAAAGACAGAAACCAGAGAGAGCGACCAAAGAGAAAGAACTCTGAGCAAGGAATGGACAAAAACTCAGTCCTCCACTAGCAGCATGGGTTACACCCATGGATCCATTATAATAACGGTTACACCTCTTTTATTTTATTAATGACAAAAATAAATCTGTTTAATATAGCGCTTTTTGGACACTCAAAGACGTTTCACATGTCATTATTCATTCACTCCATACATGGTGGTAATAAACTACTACTGTAGCCACAGCTGCCCTGGGGCACACTGACAGAAGAGAGGCAACCAGTTTGTGCCATCGGCCTCTCCGACCACCACCAATCATTCACACACACCAGAAAGTCTTGTAATGGGCTCGAACCCATGACCTTCTAGCTCAAAGGCCAATGCTCTACCAACTGAACCGTGAACAGTGTAGTAGGGATGCACCTAAATGTTGGAGTGGCTTAGTTAGAGTCATAGACATTTTAGAGTCGCACTGTACCCAGAGGGAATGTCTGTCGAACATACAACGTAAAACTAATTTCACGGTGTGTGCACGAGCAGTCTGTGTGCGTTTGCATCACATCATTAACTGATTACGTCTTGTACATTGTAGTTTAGAGAAAATTACCTATTTCAAGATTTTACAAGATTAGCGCCCTATGATCACCGCTGGGTTGTATGGTCCACAATAAAAACTCCTCAGAACAAACCGGTCAGTTCTGTTATAACCATACTCATGTCGTGTTCCTGGTGAATACATGATCTTTAAAGCTTGTACTCACATGTGTCTCCTCACCCTGTTCCTGTGGCGAGTTGTGGCAACAGACTCTAAGGCCGGGTCAGGATCTCAAGAGGTGGAGCAAGGAAACGCATGGTGAAAATAAGGCTCTAATGCTACTGGACACACACTGCGCTGAGTGGAAGTGTGATGGTCACTTGGAGCGTAGTGCTACCCCCTGAAAAGTCCCACAGATCATGTATGCAGTCTTCAATTAAAAAAAAACACCTGAGCCATGTGATCTTAGATTTTAATATCTTAGATATTATAACAACGGTCGTGATGGACACATGGTTCAAGTCTCTGCCCCCCCTCGGCCTGTACTGTAAATCTCAAGGCCTGAGGCATAGCTGTTCCCCTCAGTCTCTCTGAATTCCCCCACACAATGCAGATGCAGTCTTTTCTTTTTCTAAAGTAAACCTACACTTAATTCAATTCATTTGTAACTGATTTTCCTGCACATTTCAATGAAACAAAACAAAATTCTCATTCTCATTTATTGATGTTTATTTGGCAGCCTGAGGTGTCATGGACCGCCGCGCTTCAGGCTTGGATGTGTTCTCTCAGGCCTTACATGTTGCACTAGTGTCAAACAGGTCGACATACACATTATACATACAGTAAAGAGAATAACAGCCCTACAATACAACCACTGAACCTCCTGAACTCTGGGGGCTCACTTTTGTCCACTTCAGTTCGTTCCAGATCCTGCGTCTTCAGAACAGGTTTTAATGTGTCGACGATGAGACGACCCATGAGAATATGTCTTCCCACACTTTTCACAGACAAACGGTTTCTCTCCCGTGTGGATCCTTTTGTGATCTCTAAGAGAATCACTCACTTTGAACCCCTGACCACAAACATCACAACTGAAGGGTTTCTCTCCAGTGTGGGTTCTTTTGTGTTTATTTAAATCTCCTCTTTGGTAGAAACTGTGCCCACACACATCACACTCATACGGCTTCTCTCCGGTGTGGCTCCGATGGTGAAGTGTGCGATGCGACGCAGTTTTAAATGTCTTACTGCAGTGGTCACACTTGTATGGATTTTCTCCAGTGTGAATTCTCTGGTGACTTTCATAGGCAGAAAACTGAGTAAACTTTTTCCCACAGTCTCCACAGACAAATGGCTTTTCTCCTGTGTGGATTCGTTTGTGTTCAGTGAGGTTAAATACAGTAGTAAAAGTTTTTTCACACTGGTCACACCGGTGAAGTTTCTCTCCTGTGTGGACACGCTGATGTATAGTGAGTTGCCCATTTAGCCTAAATGTTTTCCCACACTCGTCACACTCAAATGGTTTCTCTCCGATGTGGATCCTCAGATGATTTTTCAGAGTCCCCTCTTGTCTGAAGTGCTGTCCACAGAAGTCACAGCTGTAGGGTTTTTCTCCAGTGTGGATTCTGCCATGGCGCTTGAGACTTACTGCTTGAACTTTATTTAATAATTATTTTTATTTTTTTTTTTTTTTTTTTTTTATTTTTTAAAAACTTTTTTTTTTTTTTTTTTTTTTTTAATCTATTTTTTTTAAATGTTTTTTTTTAATTAAAACTCTTTCCACACAGACCACACTTGTATGTTTTTCTCCAGTGTGAGTCTTCTATGCCTCTTGAGATCAGAAGCGCGGCTGCAAGTCCTCCCACACTGGGGGATCACAAGTAAACCCCATTTTTGCGTGAATGGGACTTTGTAGATCTGCCACAAATACAGAAAAAAGGAGATTGTTAGAGCTCAAATGATGTTTGAGATGGTTTGAGATTCTGGTACGGGGAGGGGGGTAGAGGACCACTACCAGAGTAGCTGAGCAGAGGCAGGGGAGACCCAGAGAAAAGAGAGAGAGAGAGAGAGGCCCAGACGAACTTTGTGCATTAGTCCCTTGCTCCACATTTTGAACTAACACAGCAGGAACCATTTATTTGACAAAAAAAATGCAATAAGAGTACATGTCTAGGTGGCAAGTCAGTTTGACTAGAGAATAGCACCGCTTGTATCCTTGAGGCACTGCGAGACAATGTTAAGACATTTCCCTCCCTATCTGCTACTCTCTGAAGTGGCTTTGTTATAAAGCGTTATGTTTTATTACACTTGTGTTACCCTCAGGTCAAAAATGACCAGCCACAGATGATTAAAAAAGTATACATAAAATGGTCTAAATGACCCAGACCAGGTCAAGCTAGTCTAAGATATTTCACCTAAAAGTGAAAGATTGATCGTAGTATAAGAAATAAAATCATTCCTAAAGAAATCCAAGCTCTTAAGAGATCTCACCTTAGGAGCTCTGAGCTCTCTTCAAGTAGTACTAGAATTTGATATGCTGCTATCCAGAATATATAACTACAATATGTGTTTATAATATTTGGCGGGTGTTCATTTTGACATGTTCAGATGAATTATGTTTAAAAAAACTGCTTTGAAGTGGCACTTTTTCACTTCCGCATAGAAACGCTAGGGGGAGCCAAAATGGCGGCGATGACGTAGGAGAAGGACCTCTCACAGCAGCAGACAGCAGTCTGGGCTGAATCTGTAGGAGGTTTCACTGTCATCTGAACAAGGTATAAACATATTTTTCATCCGTTTTGTACATAATAGTGCGCAACTCTTAACCTTTTAGCCTTATTTGTGAGATTCAAGCTAATTAGTGTTGGGCAAGTTAGCGAACGCAAGTGCGAGACGAACGCAAGTGCGAGACGAACGCAAGTGCGAGACGAACGCAAGTACTGCGAGACGAACGCAAGTGCGAGACGAACGCAAGTGCGAGACAAACGCAAGTGCGACACCAAACGCAAGTGCGACACCAAACGCAAGTGCGACACCAAACGCAAGTGCGCAAGTGCGACACCAAACGCAAGTGCGACACCAAACGCAAGTGCGACAACAAACGCAAGTGCGACAACAAACGCAAGTGCGACAACAAACGCAAGTGCGACAACAAACGCAAGTGCGTCTCGCCGCAAGTGCGTCCCTAAACGCAGGTGCGTCCTAAGCAGGTGTGTCTCCCACGCAGGTGCATCTCACGCTGCGTCTCTTACGCCGCGCCCTAATACTGCTGCTGCCGCTGGCGCCACTGCTAACCCTACGTGCGCCAACGCCACTAACCCCAACGCTCTCCGCTGACACACAGGTGAAGAAGTACTAACGCCCGGCCCCTGCCCTAGGCCGCCTACTCGCATACACCGCCACACGGAGAGGACGCTGTAGTCACGGTTTTGACACACACCAAGGTCTACACACACCACACGACCAACAGCTAAACTACCCTCTCTATAGCACTGCTTTCCTCCTTTCCCTCCTCCCACCGTGTCGTACACACACGTTCCAAGTCATACTCGCATACACTCACCCACACAAATATGGAAATCGATGGCGGAAACTCGCCACGACCAAGCAAGCACGACGGTGTCTCAGAAGGACACGGCATAGTGGATAACTTTCTGCGAGACCTCACAGAGAAGTTATTCCCAGGGGGCTACGACACGCTTGAGCACTGCTCACTCTCTGACTTACAAGATGCTACCTCAATATTAGCATCCGAAGCTACTACGACGAAACTCCAAGGTAAGACCCTAACCCAGTGGCTAGGACGACTGGCCATAATCTCCAGGATAACCTTGCGCGACTCCGAAGCCCAGAAAGCAAGGCTCCAAAACACAGTGAGTGACCTGGAACGACAACTGGCGGAAACTAGGAAATCCGCCGCGACCCGCTTACAACAAATCCAACAGGTAAGTAGGGACCACCAACAGGGACTGAGCATGACTCCAAGCGCGACCATGGATCTTGATCGCGCAGCGGAAATCAGGACCGCTATTTCGAACGGAACCAGCCGTGACAGTACCTCCGGCCCACACTCCCCTCGCTCTGACCGCGGCAAACCATCGTCCAACTGTGAACGCAGGAGCGTGGCCGAACTGGTAAGTATCATGACGGGAAAGGACCAAAATCAAGGTCATAGGAACAATACACAACCCAACATTGGACACGTCGACCACTGCGACCCCCACGACGCCCCTCCGGGAACACACATGGACATGCGACACAGACAACATGACTATCCGACCCATGACCCTGGCCCACCTGACGTCCATACGAGACATGTTTCAGACTGCAACCATTGGGACGAAAGGGCCCGCCCTCAACATAGCGGACAAACCTACAACGACCCCCCTGGCCCACATCTGAACATGCTACATGGACCACACGACTTACGGTGCCCCACGTCTGGGCCGTCCGCATATGCTGCGACACAATGGCCAGTGACCCGCGATGGGAACGCCGGGGACCTCCCCAAACATGGAGGACAACCCCACGGCAACCCCCCTGACGCACGCCAGGACTCAACCCTAGGCCAACGGGACTACCCGGACTGGGGGGGGACGGCCCCCGACCTCGACAGGTCGGACTTAGCCTCCCTCCGACACGACAACCCCACACTAGAACGCCCCTTCGACGTCATGATCGACACGACGCTCGGAACCTCCGGCCGTGATGAAGGAATACTGCCGATACGCCATGGGCTGTTAGATTCTGCTTCCGATACACTCACTTCGTCGGTACTCGTGGTGCCTCGAAGCATGAGGGGGGTAATGTTGGCACACGCCCATGACGCACCTACCGCGAAACAAACAGGTATAAACAACACACGTCAGGCACTACAACAGGTAGAAACAACGGACCGAACGGCGACCGAAATACTAAGGTACGTATCCCCAAACCGGAGTGACGAGAACGTGAAACTCCCCCGGCTCCTGAGGACAAACCAATACAGGACCGACCCGCAGGACCACCTCCAGGTCAAAAACCAGGTATGGTATTACACCTTGGCACATTCCCCAGGACACGTGGGAACCGGCCCCACCAGACTACGCCGGAAACCGCGACCCCGCTGGTCAAGACCATACAGGGTGGGAAACAAACTCTCAACCGCAGTGCACCAAATCGAGGTCACAAAAGGTAGAGAGCCCACCCTCAGATGGGCCCGTTACAGCCAAACCAAACCACACAAACAAAGCCCCATGGGACAAGCAGGGCACACTTCAAACCCCAGTTAGGAACACACCACGTGACCTCAAACACGATTAGCCCAGCACTCACCAACACTCTTCTCGGCTGCACTAATCGACTTTCTCTTTCTCTGTCTCTGTCTAACCCCTAACAGTTGTTTCACGCCTTGCAGAACATGTGGCCCACTTTCCTTCTCGTGCTGACCTGCATACTGGGTCTCGGCACCCCAGAAATTATTGAGACCGGACCAGCCTCCGGGATCGTTTTAAAGGAACAACCCGGGCTCCTCATCACGGACGTCCGACTCCACACACAGCGAATCTTTGTCAGACTCAATCCTAGTGAAGTCTGCCGCAAGAACCTGCCCTTGAAGGTCACACTCAAAGATTGGGCAGGTGCACGCTGGACCCAGACGGTCGTGGAGCATGCTGAGGCAGACATACAACACATGCTGACGCAACTAGAGAAGTTCACGATCACTAGGACAGAGCTCAGTGACCCTCGCCCCAGACCCAAACAATTTATCGGGGCTCTCCTCGGCGCGGCGTCCGCCCTGGGCACCCTCTTTAGCTTAGGGATGTCCACGGTAAACGCCATCAGCCTATCCTCCCTCAGACGTCACCAACAAGAAATGGCCTCTGAGCTCGAGGATGTCAAAACCAGACTTGACCAACAGCAGAACGACGTGGTGACCTTGGGAAAGTCCCTGAAAGGAACCATGCTAGTACTTAACACGCACGAGGTTGCGATTAAACGCACCTCCGCTGCGGTCAACCAACTCTTAGACGTCCTCCAACTAGACTACGCCCATACTCAGCTGACCACCCAACTGATGGAAGACATGCTACGCCACCTCAGTTCCTCGATCGAAAACCTAGCCATGGGCCGTATCCCGCCATACCTCGTGCCGCTATCGCTAGTTGAGGACATCCTAGCCGCAGCCACACGGGACGCCGTAACCCCCATGCAAGCCCACTTAGCGTACACGCTGGGCGCTGCAGTCCCCATCTATGTTAATCCTCTGGACCGCAAGGTAGCCTTTCTAGTCACCCTGCCGATAGTTCCCGGCGATAAAATCTACCGACTAAAAGGGATCACTAACCTAGGGACTTGGAGGGACAATGCCCACGTCAGAGTCCAGACCCCAGACATAGTAGCCTACCACGACAGTAACCCCGATTTATACCTAACGCCAAACCTAAGGATGTGTACCCTCACCAAGGACATCCATTACCTCTGCCCCAGCAAACCTTTCGTCAGGGACAGCACCGATGGCATCTGCGGCCTGAGGCCCATGACTCCAGGGAGTCGATGCCCCGCGACGGTCACCTCTCGGAAACAAATAACCGAAACTAGAGCAGAGATTGTAGGGGCACGCTGGCTAGTGAACACTCCCCTTAGAACGGCGACCCTGACCTATGACAAACACGACACCTCGTCCCGAGTAAGCCTCCCGGATGAAACCTTTTGGGTCGACGTCCCAGCCGACGCTATCCTGCACGTAGGCGACCTGGCATTATACCACCTGTATCCGAACCAGTACGAGGCAGAGGTCGAGATACCAGAGTTCTTTGAGGAAAGGGCCTTGGAACTTCAACCCTCCACCCTCGTCCAAGCCACCTACGAGGGGGCACAAACCGTTGACGTTACGGTCGTAGACAACCTCCTTCAAGAGATCGCCAAGCGACCGACCATCCACCACCAACCAGTAGCCTACTCCTGGGCCGCTCCCGATACAGTCATGGCCATCGCGGTAGGACTCGGGTACGGCCTGGTCGTAGCCATGGCCTTCGTCCTAAATAGACGGGTTAGACAACTCCGCGATAGCTTTAACAGGTGCACGGAGGCAATGACGAGACAGATCCGTAGACGACCAAACCGGGGTGACAGCGCCGTCGAGCGTGGCAATTTAGGTCGGCGCCCCCAAGTCAACGAATCAGAGTACGAGGACCTCCAAAGCCACCCACTCGAGACGGTCACTCTTTCTATCACAGAAGGTGAACCAAGGGCCTAAAACCCCACAAAGAGTCACCAACTCGGATCCAAACATATCTACCTCGATACCTAATCAGTCTCCTAGACAATCATACCTGTCGTTCCCGTTTATATACAGGAAATTCCCCCTCGTAATTAAAGCCCCACTTGCCACGTCATATATTCTTGTAACCCTTATACTCCCCTCTAGAAACGAGCAAGATGGGAACCCCTCGCCATCGAGTGCCTTAATGACGCTCCTACCCGCTGCCAAGACAGCCACCCTTTTTGATTTTTGAAGTTTCATATTTTTGTATCCTAGTCCCCTAAAATAGGAACTCCTGCTAGTCTCTCGGCTTGGAACTTTGAGTCTTCCAGACCAAGAGACCCAGGAGTCAGGCGCACCGGCCCAAACCTTAGAGTTCACGGCCGGAGCTCACTCCCTAAACCCCTGATCCCGGTTAGAACTAGCCTGCAGGGCCAGGACTCGCCTTAGAGAAAACCTGGCCTCGACAGACCAAGCCAGAGGCCCGAGACCCAACCGCCACGAGCCTGGCCCCAGTTAGGCGCTTGCAAATTACGGAGTCACATTGAGGCTAGAATGTTGTAACATGTCACTACAAATCACGCACTAACACCCGAACAGGCGAGACGACCGACTGAGGACACCCGCCCGGCATATCCGACATGACATGCACCTTGTCGGAAGGTGCATCTCTGCCGTGGGGGGGGTATGTAAGGTGAATTAAAGGACAGCCAGTCGACAGTCGACCAGCAAACCAAGATGTGTAAACATGCCCTCCGAGCATGACCCATCTTGACGCACATCTAAGGGACGGCCAGGTCAACCAGAGGACATCATCAGTCACCGTGGCCATAAGTGTCAACCAAGGCCATAAACTGAGCCCCAGAACAAATATCTTTGTGTCTCTCCGCCTGGCAGAGATCAGAGAGCACCCATCTGCTCTCAATCCCGGGGATTCCTGTCCCTGAACACTCTGAGATTCCCCTACGGCGCCCTGGCGCCCCCCAGTGGATACTGGACGCCATCACACCCGAGGCGGACACTCGAAAAGGACATTATTCGGTGATATTATGTCGATAACGTTACGGACCTTACTCGTGTGTGTTGATGTCTGTGATGTAAATACACTGTGTGTTTGTACGATGTGTTATGGGTGGCTGTATTGATCTTGTGTGTTTTTCCCTTGATAAACCGCCTGTGTAAGGAGGCTGTCGCACATGGATGACGTCAAAGGACGCGCCCCCTTCAGAAGTCAATATAAACTCTCACAACGCAACAAACTGCCTCTTGTCCTATCCTGAAATCACTATTCCAGCTCTCCCTGGCCATCTGCGTCCCGCGGTACGTGTCTCCAATACGGCCGCGCCAGCACGCATCGGGCCTCCTACTCCGCAAAACACACTCTCCTCGGCTCGGGACCTTATGAACTGTTCATCACCAGCCTCTTTTTCTTGGCTCTGGACTCTACGCGCGCAACCCATTCCGGACTGGGCTGTATACGCGTGGATCAGCAGCTGGACCAACTCGCTGGCTTCGTACCTCCCGCCTGCCCAGACAAAGAAACCACGTGGGCTGATTCCCCAACCCAAATCCTTTCTCCATCCTCTACGCTCCTACAAAGTAAGACTGTTCTTGTTAACTGTGTGATTTGAATGAAATGTATACCACTTCTGCTTTAATGTGACCAGAAATCCCCTTCGTTATATTTTTACCTTCATTTTTGTAATCAATAAACCCCTTTTCTTTAACTCAACCCCATCAGAGTCGTGTTGTTAGATCTCGGCATATCCCTGGCTGATATACGCACTCACTACCTTTTAGATTTATAAGACTGACTCGAGGCAAAGTTAGTTTGGATCTGTGCAGACCTTTTCAACTCTGCTGGTGCCCTAAATTTAAAACAGATCCCCCACTCGAATAGGACGGCCAGCCTCCGACCTTGGAGACTAGCCGCACTATTCTTCTCATAACATAATCTGTAGTATTATTACCCTACATATATGGTGCCCTGTTTGTGAGATCCGCGCATATAAGACCAGATTTATCAACTCGTACTCTGTGATTTGATCTTGATACGCTAACTTTACTGCTGCTCCGCTCAAAGCGCTTTCCCCCCATCTCCTCACCCCCACATCCCTGCTACCCCCGTTGCTATAGTGACTTCAACGACAATCGAGCTCCCCTACGCCCCACGCTTGCGATAAAAGCGTCTCGTGCATGCACCAGACTATTAATTTAGTCTCAAAATCCTGGCTTTTCGCGCAGGTACTACGCATCTCCTACAACGTGTCGCCCCGCTTGGCCAGCGGGCAGCGTGGAGTGTGAAGCCGCTTAAACTCTTAAGAGAAAGCGCAAAAACTTATTCTTATAACTCCACTGTACACCGTGTCCAGAACACGGGCGTACGGATCTACTCTGTGTCCCTTTGTGACCCAAGTCACACAGGATTGTAACCGAGTATATCTGTGTAAAAGGCTGTAAATGGCAGCTGTGTGAATGTGATGCTATTGTTCTGCTAAAGGTGGCTAACGCTAACTCTGTCTCACCACTCTTTCTCCTGCTACTCTGCTGTTGCACATACACACACCAAGACTGTACTGCACAATACAGACAAACACCATCCCACCACTGTATACGTGCTTGTGCGAACTGTATAACTCGCTCCAGACTTTCGTTGTATAAACTACTGCTAAAACGCTCCACGCTCGAAAGCTAACGGCTAGCTACCCTTCTTTGTTCTAGCATAAGGCTAACTTCCGCTCGGGCCTGCTAAGCCTCAAAGCTACATTCGGACAACGCCGTTGCTCCTAATACTGCTCCCGCTAATAGCTGCTCTCTCACTGTTAATATTGCTGCCGCTCTGTTTATTAACCACATTGCATTCGGTTACCAAAACTCATTGTTTATTGCCTAAACTGCTGCTAAAACGTCCCGTTGCCGGCAAGCTACAGGCTAGCTACGCTCCTTTGTTTTAAGCATACGGCTAACTTCCGGCCCTGGCGTGCTAAAAGCCAGAGCCGCATCCCCACTGCTAATACCATTCTGCTGCATTGCCTGCCTGCTGTCTCACAATAACGCTACTTACTATACTTTTGTACTATCCTATCTCACTCTGATTCTGTGTTCTGACGATCATAAGGCGCCAGCCGTCTCGGCATACCGCTAAACGAGCCGCACCTCTTTTATTGTCTAACACAGGATTGCTTTCCGGTCCCGGCACTACTTCCGGAACCACATTGCTGCTGTCTTGACACCCCATTCTGCACCACGTCTTTAATCATCTGTGGCTGTGGCTCTAACGTAAAACGGCTTTGCTATAGCTCCGTGCTGTTTTGTTACTCCAACTCAATAACCACATTACTGCCATACATTGGTAAAGCTAACACTCTGTTTCTGTTCCTCCTCTTTAACGTCATTGCTAGACTACATTACTGCGTTAGCCGAGTTAATGCTGTAAACTCTGCTCCTTCTGCTGCATGCCGCGGGTGAAACGCATTCTATGCTTTATTCCTGCTCACTCACTACTGCTAGTTTACGGTAACACATCTGTGTGGTGATTTAACAAATACTGCACTCCCACACACACAACCCCCCCTTGCCGCTGATAATACGCATTATTGTGGTAACTAATCTTATGCCGTGTTTCTGCTTCACGGAATTCTGCTGCATGTTTTTTTTTTTTTTTTTTTTTGTTAGAACACATTACTGCTATACATGAACAGAAGCTAACACTCTGCTTCGGCTCCTCCTCTTACACATAATTGTTAGACTACATTACTGCGTTGGCCAAGTTTCACGCTGTAACTCTGCTACTTCCAGCGCATGTTGCTATTAGGACACATTACTGCTATACATAACAAAAACTAATATTTCAATTCGGCCCCTCCCACTGCATGTCACAGCTAGACCGCACTGCTGCCCATAGTTGTAACATTAACACTGTTTACTATCATTCCACGCTGTTTGTGTTTGCTACCTAACAACCACATTGCTGCGCTGGTGAAACTAATAATCTGATTCTGCCTCTGTTACTGCACGTTATGGATAACACACTACTGTGGTAACTCCTTGTACTACACTAAAACTAACAATTTTAATTCTGCCCTCCTTCTGCATGTCACGGCTAGACCGCACTGCTGCCCATGGTGATAACATTAACACTGTCTGGCTGTTTGTTCCATGCTGTTTTGTTGATCCAATTAATGACCACTCTACTCTGCCAAACTCTACGTTTGATTGTACTACATCAAAACTAATACTCTATTTCTAACCCTCACTGTCACTAAAACTGCATTGCCTTGCCTCAGCCTGCTGCCTTTTTGCTACTGCTTACTTGAGCTGCGTCTAAAGCTACGCCGCGGCCCAAAACGCAAGTGCGTACCAAACGCAAGTGCGTCCAAAACGCAAGTGCGTCCAAAACGCAAGTGCGTCCCAAAAACGCAAGTGCGTCCCAAAACGCAAGTGCGACACAATCGCAAGTGCGACACAATCGCAAGTGCGAGACGAACGCAAGTGCGAGACGAACGCAAGTGCGAGACGAACGCAAGTGCGAGACGAACGCAAGTGCGAGACGAACGCAAGTGCGAGACGAACGCAAGTGCGAGACGAACGCAAGTGCGAGACGAACGCAAGTGCGACACCAAACGCAAGTGCGACACCAAACGCAAGTGCGACACCAAACGCAAGTGCGACACCAAACGCAAGTGCGACACCAAACGCAAGTGCGCAAGTGCGACACCAAACGCAAGTGCGACACCAAACGCAAGTGCGACAACAAACGCAAGTGCGACAACAAACGCAAGTGCGACAACAAACGCAAGTGCGTCTCGCCGCAAGTGCGTCCCTAAACGCAGGTGCGTCCTAAGCAGGTGTGTCTCCCACGCAGGTGCATCTCACGCTGCGTCTCTTACGCCGCGTCTACCGCTGCGGATTAACGCCGCGCCCTAATACTGCTGCTGCCGCTGGCGCCACTGCTAACCCTACGTGCGCCAACGCCACTAACCCCAACGCTCTCCGCTGACACACAGGTGAAGAAGTACTAACGCCCGGCCCCTGCCCTAGGCCGCCTACTCGCATACACCGCCACACGGAGAGGACGCTGTAGTCACGGTTCTGACACACACCAAGGTCTACAACACCACACGACCAACAGCTAAACTACCCTCTCTATAGCACTGCTTTCCTCCTTTCCCTCCTCCCACCGTGTCGTACACACACGTTCCAAGTCATACTCGCATACACTCACCCACACAAATATGGAAAATCGATGGCGGAAACTCGCCACGACCAAGCAAGCACGACGGTGTCTCAGAAGGACACGGCATAGTGGATAACTTTCTGCGAGACCTCACAGAGAAGTTATTCCCAGGGGGCTACGACACGCTTGAGCACTGCTCACTCTCTGACTTACAAGATGCTACCTCAATATTAGCATCCGAAGCTACTACGACGAAACTCCAAGGTAAGACCCTAACCCAGTGGCTAGGACGACTGGCCATAATCTCCAGGATAACCTTGCGCGACTCCGAAGCCCAGAAAGCAAGGCTCCAAAACACAGTGAGTGACCTGGAACGACAACTGGCGGAAACTAGGAAATCCGCCGCGACCCGCTTACAACAAATCCAACAGGTAAGTAGGGACCACCAACAGGGACTGAGCATGACTCCAAGCGCGACCATGGATCTTGATCGCGCAGCGGAAATCAGGACCGCTATTTCGAACGGAACCAGCCGTGACAGTACCTCCGGCCCACACTCCCCTCGCTCTGACCGCGGCAAACCATCGTCCAACTGTGAACGCAGGAGCGTGGCCGAACTGGTAAGTATCATGACGGGAAAGGACCAAAATCAAGGTCATAGGAACAATACACAACCCAACATTGGACACGTCGACCACGCGACCCCCACGACGCCCCTCCGGGAACACACATGGACATGCGACACAGACAACATGACTATCCGACCCATGACCCTGGCCCACCTGACGTCCATACGAGACATGTTTCAGACTGCAACCATTGGGACGAAAGGGCCCGCCCTCAACATAGCGGACAAACCTACAACGACCCCCCTGGCCCACATCTGAACATGCTACATGGACCACACGACTTACGGTGCCCCACGTCTGGGCCGTCCGCATATGCTGCGACACAATGGCCAGTGACCCGCGATGGGAACGCCGGGGACCTCCCCAAACATGGAGGACAACCCCACGGCAACCCCCCTGACGCACGCCAGGACTTAACCCTAGGCCAACGGGACTACCCGGACTGGGGGGGGACGGCCCCCGACCTCGACAGGTCGGACTTAGCCTCCCTCCGACACGACAACCCCACACTAGAACGCCCCTTCGACGTCATGATCGACACGACGCTCGGAACCTCCGGCCGTGATGAAGGAATACTGCCGATACGCCATGGGCTGTTAGATTCTGCTTCCGATACACTCACTTCGTCGGTACTCGTGGTGCCTCGAAGCATGAGGGGGGTAATGTTGGCACACGCCCATGACGCACCTACCGCGAAACAAACAGGTATAAACAACACACGTCAGGCACTACAACAGGTAGAAACAACGGACCGAACGGCGACCGAAATACTAAGGTACGTATCCCCAAACCGGAGTGACGAGAACGTGAAACTCCCCCGGCTCCTGAGGACAAACCAATACAGGACCGACCCGCAGGACCACCTCCAGGTCAAAAACCAGGTATGGTATTACACCTTGGCACATTCCCCAGGACACGTGGGAACCGGCCCCACCAGACTACGCCGGAAACCGCGACCCCGCTGGTCAAGACCATACAGGGTGGGAAACAAACTCTCAACCGCAGTGCACCAAATCGAGGTCACAAAAGGTAGAGAGCCCACCCTCAGATGGGCCCGTTACAGCCAAACCAAACCACACAAACAAAGCCCCATGGGACAAGCAGGGCACACTTCAAACCCCAGTTAGGAACACACCACGTGACCTCAAACACGATTAGCCCAGCACTCACCAACACTCTTCTCGGCTGCACTAATCGACTTTCTCTTTCTCTGTCTCTGTCTAACCCCTAACAGTTGTTTCACGCCTTGCAGAACATGTGGCCCACTTTCCTTCTCGTGCTGACCTGCATACTGGGTCTCGGCACCCCAGAAATTATTGAGACCGGACCAGCCTCCGGGATCGTTTTAAAGGAACAACCCGGGCTCCTCATCACGGACGTCCGACTCCACACACAGCGAATCTTTGTCAGACTCAATCCTAGTGAAGTCTGCCGCAAGAACCTGCCCTTGAAGGTCACACTCAAAGATTGGGCAGGTGCACGCTGGACCCAGACGGTCGTGGAGCATGCTGAGGCAGACATACAACACATGCTGACGCAACTAGAGAAGTTCACGATCACTAGGACAGAGCTCAGTGACCCTCGCCCCAGACCCAAACGATTTATCGGGGCTCTCCTCGGCGCGGCGTCCGCCCTGGGCACCCTCTTTAGCTTAGGGATGTCCACGGTAAACGCCATCAGCCTATCCTCCCTCAGACGTCACCAACAAGAAATGGCCTCTGAGCTCGAGGATGTCAAAACCAGACTTGACCAACAGCAGAACGACGTGGTGACCTTGGGAAAGTCCCTGAAAGGAACCATGCTAGTACTTAACACGCACGAGGTTGCGATTAAACGCACCTCCGCTGCGGTCAACCAACTCTTAGACGTCCTCCAACTAGACTACGTCCATACTCAGCTGACCACCCAACTGATGGAGGACATGCTACGCCACCTCAGTTCCTCGATCGAAAACCTAGCCATGGGCCGTATCCCGCCATACCTCGTGCCGCTATCGTTAGTTGAGAACATTCTAGCCGCAGCCACACAGGACGCCGTAACCCCCATGCAAGCCCACTTAGCGTACACGCTGGGCGCTGCAGTCCCCATCTATGTTAATCCTCTGGACCGCGAGGTAGCCTTTCTAGTCACCCTACCGATAGTTCCCGGCGATAAAATCTACCGACTAAAAGGGATCACTAACCTAGGGACTTGGAGGGACAATGCCCACGTCAGAGTCCAGACCCCAGACATAGTAGCCTACCACGACAGTAACCCCGATTTATACCTAACGCCAAACCTAAGGATGTGTACCCTCACCAAGGACATCCATTACCTCTGCCCCAGCAAACCTTTCGTCAGGGACAGCACCGATGGCATCTGCGGCCTGAGGCCCATGACTCCAGGGAGTCGATGCCCCGCGACGGTCACCTCTCGGAAACAAATAACCGAAACTAGAGCAGAGATTGTAGGGGCACGCTGGCTAGTGAACACTCCCCTTAGAACGGCGACCCTGACCTATGACAAACACGACACCTCGTCCCGAGTAAGCCTCCCGGATGAAACCTTTTGGGTCGACGTCCCAGCCGACGCTATCCTGCACGTAGGCGACCTGGCATTATACCACCTGTATCCGAACCAGTACGAGGCAGAGGTCGAGATACCAGAGTTCTTTGAGGAAAGGGCCTTGGAACTTCAACCCTCCACCCTCGTCCAAGCCACCTACGAGGGGGCACAAACCGTTGAGTTACGGTCGTAGACAACCTCCTTCAAGAGATCGCCAAGCGACCGACCATCCACCACCAACCAGTAGCCTACTCCTGGGCCGCTCCCGATACAGTCATGGCCATCGCGGTAGGACTCGGGTACGGCCTGGTCGTAGCCATGGCCTTCGTCCTAAATAGACGGGTTAGACAACTCCGCGATAGCTTTAACAGGTGCACGGAGGCAATGACGAGACAGATCCGTAGACGACCAAACCGGGGTGACAGCGCCGTCGAGCGTGGCAATTTAGGTCGGCGCCCCCAAGTCAACGAATCAGAGTACGAGGACCTCCAAAGCCACCCACTCGAGACGGTCACTCTTTCTATCACAGAAGGTGAACCAAGGGCCTAAAACCCCACAAAGAGTCACCAACTCAGATCCAAACATATCTACCTCGATACCTAATCAGTCTCCTAGACAATCATACCTGTCGTTCCCGTTTATATACAGGAAATTCCCCCTCGTAATTAAAGCCCCACTTGCCACGTCATATATTCTTGTAACCCTTATACTCCCCTCTAGAACGAGCAAGATGGGAACCCCTCGCCATCGAGTGCCTTAATGACGCTCCTACCCGCTGCCAAGACAGCCACCCTTTTTGATTTTTGAAGTTTCATATTTTTGTATCCTAGTCCCCTAAAATAGGAACTCCTGCTAGTCTCTCGGCTTGGAACTTTGAGTCTTCCAGACCAAGAGACCCAGGAGTCAGGCGCACCGGCCCAAACCTTAGAGTTCACGGCCGGAGCTCACTCCCTAAACCCCTGATCCCGGTTAGAACTAGCCTGCAGGGCCAGGACTCGCCTTAGAGAAAACCTGGCCTCGACAGACCAAGCCAGAGGCCCGAGACCCAACCGCCACGAGCCTGGCCCCAGTTAGGCGCTTGCAAATTACGGAGTCACATTGAGGCTAGAATGTTGTAACATGTCACTACAAATCACGCACTAACACCCGAACAGGCGCGAGACGACCGACTGAGGACACCCGCCCGGCATATCCGACATGACATGCACCTTGTCGGAAGGTGCATCTCTGCCGTGGGGGGGGTATGTAAGGTGAATTAAAGGACAGCCAGTCGACAGTCGACCAGCAAACCAAGATGTGTAAACATGCCCTCCGAGCATGACCCATCTTGACGCACATCTAAGGGACGGCCAGGTCAACCAGAGGACATCATCAGTCACCGTGGCCATAAGTGTCAACCAAGGCCATAAACTGAGCCCCAGAACAAATATCTTTGTGTCTCTCTGCCTGGCAGAGATCAGAGATCACCCATCTGCTC